CCGGGCTGGATTTGAACCCACCACCTTAGGTGTATGTGGCTGGCGGCTTAGCCACTTGAGCCACAGGTGCCGAGCCATCACCTTTTTTTTTTTTTGAGACCAAGTCTTATTATGTCACCCTTGGTAGAGTGCTGTAACGTCACAGCTCACAGCAACCTCAAACTCTTAAGTGATTCTCTTGCCTCAGCCTCCTAAGTAGCTGGGACTACGGGTGCCTGCTACAACACCTGGCTATTTATTGGTTGCAGTTGCCATTGTCATTTAGCAGGCCCCGGCCAGGTTGGAACCTGCCAGCCCCAATGTATGTGGCCAGCACCCTAACCACTGAGCTATGGGCGTCAAGACTGAGCTGTGACCACCTTTTGGCAATGGCCTTGCGTATATTCCTCACCAGGTTGGGGTGGTAGCTGCCAAGCAGGAGGCTGAGTCTGGGGGGGTGGGCTGCCTGACCTGTGCTGGCTATCAGGGGACTGGGGACAGGTGGCCCGGCCCTGAGAATGTGTCATTCCTATTGCCCTTCAAGACCCTCTAAGGCCCCAGGCAGTGAAGCAGTTAAGATTGCCAGCCCTGGCTTTGGGCTGGATACTTGTCAAGGGGGGATACTTGATGTCCTCAACTGTGTCCCAAAGGTCAGTTAGCTGCTTAGAGCATCGGGCAGGCTCACTCCTGACTCTCAACTCAGACCCTTCAGGGTTTGGCTGCCCCTGATTGGCCAGAGTTCTAGAGAGAGGACTGTTCTAATGGGGGGCAACCAAGTCCTTCCTCCTACCGTCCACGGCTGCTGCATCCTGGGGGCGGGTGGGAGGACAGTAGGCTGGGGGCAGAGGGCCGTGGGAGATGTGGGGGGCTTGGGGTAGAATTGGGATTTCTGAGCTGGGGAATCCCAAAGCCCCTCTCTGGCCCTTTGAAACCTTCTGTGGTCAGCAATGGCTCTGCCACCCAGCTCCTGCTGTTTATGTTGTATGGTGCCACCCCTTGCCAAGGTCATACAAGGTCATGCAACTCATTGGCACTCTTGAGATGGGGACAAATCTAATTTGGCGACATCCTGTCCTCTGGGGACATAATCCTGGCCCTGCTGTTTCCTAGCAGAGTGATCTCAGGTGACCCTGATAAGGATGCAGGCCTCTGTGAGCCTCAGTTTCCTCACTGGGAAAACAGCATTTCACCGACCTATGGGATTCTTATGAAGGGGAAGAGCAGAAAGCGACAATCCCATTTTATAGATGAAGAAACTGAGGCTTAGAGAAGGGAAGCAGTTTGCTCTGGGTCACACAGAGTAAGCTGTGGGGCTGGATTTGAACCCAGGTGGTCTAGTCTGGCTCCAGGGCCTGTGGCTCTGAGGTCCTGTCTGGGCTGTAATGGGTCACCTGTGTCTCCTAGTTCTGGCATTCAGCACCAGCCCCTGGGCACCAGCTGCCCCTCATGGTGGGTATGGGTGGCAGGTCGGGGGCAGCCAGCCTGGGTTAGGCCAGGGATACCCTCCTTCTCCCCCATACCATGCCTCCTTCCCGCCCAATACTCTGGCTGAAACTTTGTCTTGGAAAATTGCACTCTCTGACACCAGACTGGCCTTTCGAAGTACCTGGCGTCTCTCACTCTTGTTATCAACACCCTGCTCGTGGACAAGCCTCTTCCTCAGTCACTGATTTGGGCGTGGTGGCGAGAGTGCTGAGCAGGACGGGTGGAGGCTTCCAGTGCACCCTGGGGTCTGACTGCCCAGCTCTCTGCTGCAGACCTGAGTTCTGACTCTTATTCCCTGGCCTCTTTGTGCTTCAGTTTCCACATTTGGAGCCAGGGTAGAGTGATGCCGTCTTCCCTTGGTGCTGCTGTAGAGCAGCTGAGCCAAAGCACAGAGACCCACCCTGAGCTCGGATCCGGGCTCACGCTGGGCTCTGGGCATTTGGCAGCTGTCACAGGCTTGCTTTGAGTGTGTTTTGAAAAGTGGCTTCCTCGAGTCTGTTCAGGCACAAACAATTCAGAGATATCCCTTGGGCCTTCTTTCCCATTCCCCTGGGAAGAGATTCCGGTTACTTTACTCACCTGACCTCCACCTAACATTCCCTTTCTGTCCATTCATCCATTTGTTCCATAAACTTAGACTGTGCATATTCACATGCTCAGCTGTGCAGGGGGATCCAGTAGCTTCCGTACCTGTTATGACTGAACCCCCAGGACAGCTCCATGGGGCAGGTGCTACTACGATTACAAATGAGGAAACTGAGGCCTGGGGCACTCAAGGAGCTCTTCTATGGTCACACAGGCAAAGAATGGTGTAGCCTTGGAGGTGGTTCAATGTTCTTATTCAGTGACTTTAGAGGGAACGTGGTTTGGTTCCGACTTGAGCCGATTCAGCGTCCTTTTGTTTGATTCTCTGTTCAGCAAAGGAGCGCTATTTGGGCTTGGTCCCTGGCTCCGGCTCTTCGTTCATGGCTCCATTCATGTCTTTCTGTTTAAAGAACCCTGACTGACCACAGAGAAGGGCTGAGGTGCTCGGCTGAGGTGGGAGGGACTCAGTGCCACAAGGACAGAGTGCCTGGAGAAGCTGGGCCTTCTACCATCCTGTCCCTGGTACTGAGATGGGAAAGAACGTGTCTTACATGCTGGCCTGGGAGTGATAGTCCTGCCTGCCCACTCTGGGGATGGCAGGAGAAGTGGACCCTTGAGCATAGGCAGGTATCCTTGGGGGTCCTCATAGCAGCAGCAGCACAGTGGACACTGGGAGTGGATGAGGCCAGTGTTGTCCCCTGCTGGGGTGGCCAGGCACAGCACTCCTGATGAGGACTATTTACTAAGGCATCACTTCTTATTCAGAGCATGTCCGTGCCTTGTCATACCCAGGTGGGCTGTGGGGTGGGGAGGGCGGGAAGGAAGCCCTCCACCCAGAGAATGTCCTCCCATCCCTGGGGACACCACCCCTGAGCTAAAAGCCTGCTTTTCTGTTTTTCTCTTGCAGTTACCGAGAAGGAAGTCCAGCAGTGGTGAGTAGCTGCTTTCCCTCACACTGTTGAGGGGCCGGAAGTGTTGGCTTTGTACTGATGGGGACAGCAGTGCAGCTGGCTGGGACGGAGCATGTGGAGGGGACTCTGAGAATGCTTCATTTACATGCTAGTCCAAGCAGCCTTTGTTCAGTATCTTTTGTTCTCATGGGTGGACGCAGTTTCAGTTGAACTGGGTTGGGAGGTGGTGTTGGGGTGCTGGTGATCCCTTGCCTTGTGTAGCATCTATAGGGACCACCAGGCCCTGCTTATGTAAGGTAGGGATTTGGGTGAGAAACAAGTCAGGAGACTAGGTTTTTGTGGCCTTGAGAAGTCTCTTCCCCTCTCTGGGACTCAGTAGCTCCATCTATAAAATGATTGATTGGACTGGATCAAGGATGGCAAATAGATTTTCTCTCGGATGCCAGCTCTAATGGATCTGTAGTAGCTTCCTGGAGTGCCATGTTAAGAAGGATTCTGAGGCTGTATGTCATGGAGTGAATAGAAAGCATAGCAGTGAGGGATTGGTGAGGTCTGTGATGGATTAGTGATGCCTGTACTGGGCAAGTGGGGAGGAGAGCAGCATGTATGGCATTGTGAAAGGTGAAGCAGACCTGGAGACTTACACTGTAAGGTGAGCTTGAGCTGGGGAGTGGAGGGTGAGGAGTGAGGGGTGAACCTGGAGCTCTGCCAGTAAAGTGTGGGGAGCAGGGCCAGCCTCTCCTTATGCAGGGAAGTGAAGGTGAGGGAGCAGCAATTAGGGGAAGGGGCTAAGGACCTCTTTGCCCGGGCCTGGTGCAAGGCAGGGAGAGGGCGAGGTTTGTTCTTTGTGCCGGGAGGCTTACCCATACAGCCTGGTTTCATCTCCACACTGACCCTCAGTAGCAGATCCCATCACGGTGTTTCTGTTTGAGCTCCTGCCCACATTGGGGCCTTCTACAGAAAAAGGTGGCAGTGTGGCTGGGAGCATGGGCACCAGAGGTAGGCAGGCTAGGCTGGGAACCTGACATTCTCACCTCACTGAGTGGCCTTGGTCAAATGACTAGACTTGGGGGTCTCAATTTCCCCATCTGGAAAATGAGGGCAATAATAGTCAAGCTTTATAGGAATGGTGTGAAAAATAAATGCACTAATTCACATAAAACCTTTGGAACAGAAGCTAGTTAGTGTTCTCTCTGTTGTTTTTTTTTTTTTTCTTTTTAGACAGAGCCTCAAGCTGTCACCCTGCCTCCACCTCCTAAGTAGCTAGGACTATAGACGCCCGCCACAGCACCTGCCTATTTTTTGGTTGCAGCCGTCATTGTTTGGTAGGCCTGGGCTAGATTCGAACCTGCCAGCTCAGGTGTATGTGGCTGGCACCTTAGCCACTTGAACCACAGGCTCTGAGCCCTCTCTGTCAGTTTTAATAACCGTAATAATCGCAGTACTGATCTGCTGGGCACAACCACCCTGAGATTGAGATTTTCCCAGTAGTGATATGACTTTGATTTACTCATCAAGCATCCATAGAGCAATACCCTGTGTCAGGTACTGTCTCCCACACTGGGACACATCTGTTGCTCTGGACAAAGCCCTAGCCCTTGACTTGCAATAAGTGCAAAGTGAGACCATCCTAGGGGAGAAAAGTGCTTTGGGGAATGACGGTATGGTCAGGAGGGGTGGGACCCCATAAGACATAGGGGTCAGGTGAGGCTCCTCCCAGATGCTGAAGTGTGAGCTACAGGCCAGACCAGGACTCAGGGAGGAACCTGACCCAGGAGTGGGAACAAGCCTGGCTGTTTGGGGACCAGCAGGGAGCCCAGGGGACTGCCCTTTAGGGGGCGGTGTTGACTTACACACAGTGAAACCAAAACTGAGTGTCTTGGGGCACCTTGCCCCATCCTTTTTGCACTGACACTTTCTCTCAAGAGCTTATAATGAAAATAAATAACCTTTTCTTTGCCACGAAGTTCTGTGGAGCTCAGGTAAATATACCTTGGTTCATTTTGGTGCCACCTTCAAGGGTAGGAGATAGTCAAACCAATGCTTTTCTCTGGCCCTCCTGGGTCAATACCCTCCCCCATGGTATTGTAGAATGGCCATATCCCCTCAGGGCACACTAGACCCTCCTGCTTAGACAGTGATACTCTCCCCTCCTGCGCCCCTAGCAGACATTGGTAGTGAATCATAGAATATGTTGCTCTGGCTCAGTCTCCTCCAGTGTTCTGGGCAGCCAGTGGAATTGTCCACACAAAATGAACCCACAGAATAAACTCAAGTGTTATTCCTTGAATGCCCTAATCTTCACTGGTTAACTGGGGCTGTAACATTGAGCCTGCCGGTTGCTAGATCCCCAGAGTCCACTGTACCCTCTGTCCTTTGCACAGGAGGCTGATGGGATGAGCTTCTGCCTCCCAAGTGCCCTGGCCCATTTTCAGAGGACCCTTTTTCACCACGGCTTCCAGCCAGTGCCTATTCTTGTTCTTAAACAGCTCTCAGGGCATCCTGCAACTGGTGCCTTCTCTCTACCCATGCCTACTCTCTTGGGGAAGCTTGGGGTTCCCGAGCCCAGCCCACAAGGGCAGTGGACAGTGGCCAAGCCATCTTGGGGGCCATGGGGAAGCTAAGGGAAGGATATAAAGAGAGCAGCAGCTGAAGTGGACATGGCTCTCTTCTCCCAGCCAGCAGTGCTAGGCTAGGCAGCCCTGCTTCCCCCTAGGGCGCTCTCGCTCTCTCTCTCTCTCTCTTTCGTGTGTGGCTCCTCACTTCTTTGGATGGTGTACACCTTTCCTGGCCTCTCCTTCCCTGGCTTCCCATCCAGCTCCTCTGCCTGGCCCACCTATCTTCCCTGGGCAGCAGGTCCTGAATCTGATGTTGGCTCTTGCCCGTGCCAGTATAAGCCACCTGGCCTATGGTGGTGCCACAGCCACTGCCTCACGGGGCTCTTGTCTGCACTCTTGCCCTGCTATGCTCCACTCCACACAGCCTCCAGAGCCTTGGAAAAGGGAGCCAGCTCCTCTGTGGCTTCCCACTGCACTTAGAATAAAGCCCCAACTCCTTCCCTAGTCTGTAGGGCTCCCCAAGGTCTCTGGTCTCACCTTTTCCCCTGCTCACCAGGCACCAGCCACAATTGCTGTCCCTCTCCCAAGCCAAGCTCATCCTGCATCAGAGCCTCCATCCTTGCTGTTCCCTCTGCTGTTCCCATGGCCTCCAGCCTCAGCATGCCCGGCTCCCTCTCATGAGTCACACTTTCATGCCATGTCTCCATCTCTCCGGTAAGATATTGGATCATCTTGTTTTGTGCTGACTTTTAACAGCTGCCATGTAGGGCTCTTATGCAATTCTATGATTTGTCCCCTGCCTTGATGCTGGTCAGGTCCCGGATTCTCCAGGAAAGCCCAGGCCATTGGGAGCATGGGCCAGGTCACGGTGATGAGCTGTTTGGGCCCTGCTTGCCCTGCACCGGGATGCATGCTGGGTGCCCCACGGTGCTGGCCCCTGGGCTCCCTGCAGCTCTGGGCTTCTGATGCCTTTGTCTGTACTTGGCAGAGGGAAGAAGCTGGAGGCTTCATAGGGTGCAGCCAGTTTGGGGGCAGTAAGCTGGCCTGGAGCCTCCTCCCCAGGTCTCTGGCTATCTCGACCAGTCCAGGTCCCACTCGCTTAAGCCTGGCTCACTACCATGGGAGATTGGGGGTCATGGTGGGAACTAGTCAAGGAATGGCAGCAGGTACCAGCCCCCCCTGGTGAGTGACAAAGACATCATCCTGAGTGGAAACAGAAGGACACACGCAGTACATTGGAGAAAACCCTGTGATGGAAAAAATGCAGGTGGAGAAGAAAGATGGGAGGGCGGAGAGGCTGGCCGCGGGTGCGTGGGTGGTGGGGCTATGGTTAATGGGTACTTTTTTCTCCCATATTTTCTATTTTCCCTATTTTTTGTCATGGCTTTATTATTTTTATAATAGCAAAATGTCCCAGCAGTATTGTAACAAAATAGTGGGTGGAAGCAGGAGGAATGCTGTAGTTGCCTCAGCAGGCTGGCTGTTGACCTTGGACTGTCCCACGCAGGTGTGGGGGAGGAGGCCACCTCTTGCTGACATCCAATGGGGGGGCCAGGCATCGTGCTGGTACTTAGAACAGTGCCATGGGATGAGCCCCAGGAGTAGCGTTTCATAGATGAAGAAACTGAGGCTCAGAGGGGTGGAACTTGCCCGAGTTTGTGTGTGTGAGGAGGGGCTGGGTCCAGCTCACCCCACATATGCCTGGGCTCAGAGTTGCTGGCTTCTTGCTTTCTTGCTCTGGGAAACCCACAAAATCAAAGGCTGTGTTGAGAGGGAGAGGAAGAGGAATGATCTTCATGGATGTGTTTGGGACTGTCTTCCAGGTCTCCAGGGAGCTCTGGGAGGGGGCTGCCACAGGAACGGAGTCATTTGAAGAGATAATGGGAGAATAATTTGCTGAGGCTGCCGCGCGCCCTTCCCAGCTGCGCTTGGCTGATTGCAGCTTGGGTTATGCTTTATTATTTATCCATCTAGCTATTTATTCTCCACCTTTTGCACTGCGGGAAGCAGCTGCTGCGCTATCCTTGGCACAGAGGGCGGTGCAGGGCTGGCCGCCCAGCAGGGTACCAGGGATGCAGTTCTGAGAGTAGCTAGGGAAGTCCTAGCAGCCTGGCATTTTGGGGAGACAGAGGCTCTGGCAGTGTTGGGGTTTGTGTGGGGCGCTCAGAGAACTAGAGGCCAAGCTGGAATTGGCCCCCATGTCCTGATGAGCATTCATTTATTCATTTGTTCATTTGTTCCTACATCCAGTATATCTTTATTGAGCACCTACTGTGTGCCAGGCCAGTACCAGTTGCTGGAGCTGTTAGGGACTGAGGGAGACAAGGTGCTTACTCTCCTTCCGATGTGGATGCTCACTCAGGCTGGTGCTGCTGGGGCAGGGGAAGGGTGACAGGGGTGGGAGGAGCCCAATGCCGAGGTGGGAAGCGTTTTTTGCAGGTGGCAGTCATCCTTCAGGGTTTTTATGAAATGACAGATTTCTTTCCCCCTTCCCTTTTAAAGAAGTGTAAGAATGCGGTTGTTGAATCTACGATTTTCCTTTCTTGACTGCACCCTGTCTTGAAGAGCTGGGTCCCAAACACAGTCAGGCGTATGAGAAATCTCTGCCTCACATGGCCAGGAGTTGCGTGCACAGTGCTTCTTAGCCTGGACTGGTCTCCGAGGCTCGGCTCTGTAGATTTTCCTTTAGCAGTCTCTGGTCCCCAAAAAGTGAAGACCCCTGTTTGTGAACAAGGTTGTGTGAGATGTAGCTTCTGTATAAATGTCTCAGGCTGGGTTATTGGGTGGGGAGGGGGCATCAAGGGTCTGCAGCACTTCTCTGAAAGGCCTTGCCTGTGTACTAGGTGGGTAAAAGTATGAGAAGGACTTCCTGGGGCCAGGACTGGGGCCTCTGGAGGGTGTTCTGGAACCTCTTTGGGACAGCTGGCAGGATGGGGCAGCTCTGGTGTAAGGGGGAGGTCTCAGGTCCAGGTCTTAGGACGTCTGTTTTATTAAAAATATCAGTTCTTGGCTCGGTGCCTATGGCTCAAATAGCTAAGCATCAGCCACATACACCTGAGCTGGCGGGTGCAAATCCAGCCTGGGCCCACCAAAA